TGTATGCTTTCAAATTTTATAAAAAATAATATTTTTTATTCTTGAGAACCCTTTTGGGTTGTAACCAATGGAAGACAAATTTTTTTAAAAACAATTAGTGAGTTCTAAACTAACTTTATTGTTGGTTTAGTATTAGTAAATGGTTGAGAACCTATTAAAAGCTATAATCAATGTACATGCTCTTAATCCGATCCAATCCGACCCAAACCCACATGTGTTCAAGATTTTAATGGGCGGGTTTGACCCAACCTATTTATTATATGGGTTGAATTTACATACCCAAACCCAATAACATGAAATCCGTTGGCTAAATGAGTTATATGGGTACCCACGTACAAATTAAATATCATAATAAACTAATTAAAAAAAGGCAACACCATTTCATATTATTATAAATAAACCCAACAAAAGTTTTCAACTTACAAGTAACAAACTAAATTAAAACATCTTCGTATCTTAAGATAAATAAAAACCATAAAGGCGTAAAACCAATAAAATCAATATAAACATAAAACCATAAAACCAAGATTAATTTTAAAAAATACTTGAATCTTTGTTGGATTCTCTACTTCCTCAGATGCTTCCTCGTCATCATCATCAGTTTCATTGTCTACAAATAAGATGAAAATTAAGTATATCATCAATTGAAATAATATTAATAGGTGATAAATTTACCTTTTTCATCACTTGTAAAACCAAATAACCAAGATCTTGTACAAAGTAAATGTTGGACATGTAGCAACTCCGGTATATGTACAAAGTTAAGCTTAGAACATGTTAAGGACATGTAGCGGGCGGTGACCCAATGCCTAGTGTCCAGCTTAGGCATTAATAAGCGGTCTAAACATTTTGCAAAAATACATAATATATTAGATATATATATATATAATAAAATATATAAAAAACCATAATTTATAACTAGTAAAATTTATATTGTATTTATAGTCATCATTTTATAGCTAAATATATATAAATTTTTACGATTTATATATATAAAAATTTATAGTATTTTATTGTTATAATACAATAATATTTTTAGGCGTCAAAAGCGGTAATCACCACGGTTTATAGGGGTCTAGCGCCTAAGCGCCACCTAGAAGAACGCCTAGTACTCAAAACACTGAGTACTCAAATATATATTAGTTATTTTTATGGTAAACCTGAAACAATCTGACCCCTTTTAAAAAAAAAATAAATATCGAATTAGTATTCCCATAAATATTAATTCTCAACACTTACCCAATCACATTTAACCAGCAACCCAATCATAACTAGCGGAAATCAATTCAATTCGAACAAACGATTAATCCCTTAAACAATAACCAATTCAATTCCAATTC